CCCAGTCAGAGCTGGGGATTTCTGGGGAGGGGCGGGGGTGGGTGACAGCGTTGTGAAGCAGGGAATGTCAGCTTTGGAGATTCTACTTGTCCCCTCGTCGTCGTTCACCATCAGGGAGTCCCAGAGAGCCAACATAACCCCTCTGAGGTCACACAGCAGCAGGGTCTCCACAGCCCTAGGGTTCCAGGCCCCTCAGCAGGCCACGCCCTGGAAGCGAGTGAGAAGAGGAAATAACTTCCAGTCCTCCTTTTTTGTAGGAGGCGGGCTTCCCTTAGCATGAGACCTATCCCCTGAGCCCAGCCTGCCCCAAGAACGACCTTTCCTGTAGGCAGGGGTGGGAGTTGCGGGCGGGGCATTGGGGGTGCTTACCAAGTAAGGATGGACCAGGAGATGGGTTTCTCAGGTGTCTTTTCTGAAAAGGTGTCACGTCTTCATTTTGCGCAGATGTTGAAGGATCCTTGTTTGTTCATTGAGCAAACATTCACTGAGCACCTACTGTGTGCTGGGCCGTGCGCCAGGTGGCGCACCTGCCACCTGGCACAGGCTGTCTGCAATGGGAGGGGTCTGCAGGACCATCTGCTGCAGGCCCCTCCGCCCTGCTTGCCTGGAAGCTCCACGAAGCCCCTCCCCACTTCGTGTTAGCACTCTCCTACCTCTCCCACCGTCCTCGCCCACTGAGCACCTTGTCTCTCCCCTGTCAGGCCCTGTCCCAAGGAGCCCACAGGGCCATTCCTTAAGGACAGTAGTAATTAATTTTAGCACTTGGCATTTACGGAGTGTTTACTATGTGCAAGGACATTGTGTGTGCTCAGTTTGATTCTGACTTTGCCAGATAGGAATATCCTCTCCATGCCACAGAGAATCCAGAGGTTCAGAGAGGGGAGAGACTTGCGTAGAGATGGTCAGCGAGGAAGCAGCATGGTGGGCATTGACCCTTGGCCAGTTTGACCCCAGAGCCTGCCCCCCCCAGATGCCTCCAGCTAGGCCCCCCGGGGCCTGCTGTGCTGCCTCTGGGGAGGAGAAATGCCTCAAGTCTCCTGTCCTGGCACCCAGGCCTCCTTCCCACACAGGGTCTCCTCTCTTGCCCCTATCCCATCCCACCCGTCCCATATTCCCCCGAACTCAGTCTGCAGTGCTCGGATGCCCTATGTTTTAGGCCTGCTGTTTTCTCTTCCTGGGCAGCCACCCCTTCTCACATGTGCCACACACACCTACAGGTGTCCCTTTAAGCGTCCACTCCAGTGCTGCCACTTTCTGGGAACCCTTCCTCCACGTCCTGTCCCGCCGCCTGGGCTCTGCATACCGGGTGCATGTCTGTGGGTTGATCAGGCCTGTTATGGCTTTGTGAGAGTCTGTGTGACTGTTTCCCCAGCCAGTGAGCCCCTCGAGGGCATGGCCCAGTAGAGCAGGTGCCCAGGAAACATTTAGCAGGCAAATGAGAGACTCTCTGGGCTTGTAAATTAAGGATGAACGTATAGAACGTGGAATCTTGGCCTCTTAGCAGGGCTCACTTTGACCATCTTTCATTTATCAGATGAAGAGGGGAGGCTCAGAGAGGGCCAAGCTTAACAGTGACCTATTGCCAAAGTAGAGTTAAGACCTGGTGGTTGGCCTGTGCACCCAGACGGGAACCCAGGACTTGGACACGGCCCGCGGACCACTTCCCCCTTTCTTCCCTTTACAGCTGTGACAACCTGTTAGATGTAGGAATTTAAACCGCCCAGGCCGTCGTTGCTGTGTCATTAAAGCTGCGGTCATTCAGAAGCATGCCATGTTCCCTGAGGTGGTTTCAAAGGTGCCAGGGAGCCTCTGGTGGCGATGCTCGACCCCAGACACACTGTTGTCACTTCTGAGTCACAGCCTCTAAGATGGGAGAGTGCGACTGGTGCCCCCACACAGGGATTGTCGCTCGGCTGTCATGATGAAAGGCACCTTGTGGATGCCAACATGATGCTTGCATCTTTCCTTCAGCAGCATCTGTGCCGGAAGCATCTTGTGAGTGCCGGGTGGGGGGATCGGGCCTGACCCTGCCTTGCAGGAGGCCACAGCTGAGTAGGGGAGAGAAGCCAGGTGCACGGTGACAGCCGAAGCAAAGATCCTGCTGGAAGCAGCTGCTCCGAGCAGGACTGGGGGTGGTTTATATACAGGAAACTGCTTGGGATTCCAGGGAACAGAAGAACCAAGCTGTCTGGCTGAGCGAGCTTCTGTGGGGCTCCGGGTTCTCTGAGCTGGGAAGAGTCAGGAGGTCCAATGCCCAGATGCTGGGCGATGCAGACATCTGGACCAAAAGTGGACATAGCCTGATCCTTCCTCAGGGGCTTGGGCTCTCTCATGGGCCTGGGACATCAGCTCCAGCACGCTGGGCAGGAAGGCTCCCTTTCAGCAGGGGCAGCGCCCCAGTGATGTTCGACAAGGCCCTGTGGACTTGACCTGGCCCCGGGACCTGGTGTCCACCAAGGACAGGCAGGGCTGGGAGGGGTGAGGCCCCCTCATGCCGCTTGTCTTCAGGCCCTGCCTAGGCCGTGCACTTTGTAGAACTGCTGTTTGCCTGGCCTCTGGCCCCCTTCTAGGTGGCTGAGGGCATTCTCTCTCTGTGGGGCCAAAGGAGACTTTCATGTTCAAGGTTTCCTTTTATTCTTGAAACAGTCCTATAAGGTAGGTATTGTTGTACCCTTCTCTTTGTCCTGATGAGCAAAGGCAGGTTTAGAGGTGTAGTAACGTGTCCCTAGTCACGTGGCTGGGAAGGGGCCGAATCTGTCTAAACCTAAGCTCTTAGCAGAGGGGGACCCCGCCCACACCTGCCCTCGGGGTGCTGGCAGCCTGGTCATCACAGGTGTGCACTGCTCCCAGGCACAGGTGGGTTGAGAAAGGGCCCAAGTCGAAGGATGAGAGGTTCCCTCTGGAGGCACGGAGGAGGGAGTCCCCATGGCTGATGGGGGGATGGTGCGAGGTGTGGCCTTTGAGAGGGGGTGCAGTGGGGCAGGGCCTGCCTGTGCCGAGGAGGAGAGGCCAGCCGGCTGCAAAGGAAGTTCTGTGGGAGCTGGGGCTGCAGCAGTGGCTGAGCCCTTGGGCGGGCCTCGGGGAGTGTGGTGGCTGTTGACTTGTGGGGTGGCCTGCCTGGGACCCGGCACGCCCACTGTGCGCCAGGCGCCTGGCAGTCTGTTAGTTCCCCAATTTGCAGATGAGAAAAGCAGCTTCAGAGAGCAAACTGACTCACCCCGAGGTCATGTCGCTGGGAGGTGGCAGGACTGGGGTCTGTGTGAGACCTGTCAGAGGCCAAGAGCTGTCTTGCAGGGAGTTCACGGGATGAGCCAGAAGGCACTAAGGGGGACATTGCCTTCCGGTGAGCCTCTGCCCCAGCTAAACACCCACATATGCCAGACACCTGGTGCCATTCTGAGAATCGGGAAAGGGACCGTACAGCCTTGGCCCAGCCCGTCACCCTTCTGCCAGGGTAGTGCGGCTGGACTTTGGTGAGGGGCGGGAGATTTTGGTGGGCGATGTGACTGGAAGGGAAGACTGGGGGCCTGTGACCCGCAAAGCGGAGACGGCAGAGTCTGTAGTGTTGTGGGACTTGTATGAGAAGTGACAGCTTCACGGACGAGCGTGTGGAGCGGCTGAAACTTGGCGCAGGGTCAGACCGTATCCTTGCTGTTGCCCTTGTCATTAGGAGGGACGTGAAGCTCCTGGCCCCGTTCCCCGGTGTGAACTTGGGGTTGAATGTGTGCTCTGGGGGGTAGCCTGCTGTGCACTCCCTCCGGACAGTTTCCTGGGGTTCCCTGGGGTCCCAGGACCTTCAGCCCAGCTAAGGCAGGCCAGGCTGGTCCTGGGCCCATGCTCTGGGGAGGAAGTGTGACCGTTTGGAGTGGTGGCAGTGCCTCTTTCGGTTCCTGGGCCTATTTTTAAGGCCTGTGGGTTCCGGCCTCAGGCTGTGTCTGGGACTGGAGCAGCCTGGAGGCTGTGGGGTGGTTCTCTCCCCAGGCAGAGACTCTGGGAGCTCTGAGGACTTTGGACCTCCCACTTTAAAGAGCCCTAGGGTCCCGGCTGCAGGGGTGTCTGTGCCGGACCAGAGTGGGCTGAATTGTCTGGCGCCCCTGGGCCTGCAGGCGAGGGCCACTCTGCCCCTGCTGTGT